GTGATATATTGAAGAGTTTGTAAGGGAAAACTATTTAACCTTTTAGCAGATTTTAACAATTGAATGCAGGGTTTCTTAGCTTTGTCACTGTTGATATTTGGGGTTGAATAACTCATTGTTTGAGGAAGAATGTCATACCTATAATGTGTATCATAGGATGTTTAATGTTATCCTTGGCCCCTAGCCACTAGATGCACAGGTATTCCAGTACTCTTACCCTCTCCCCAAAATGTCACCAAACATTGCCAAATATCCCTGATTGAGGGAAAGCAGTTAAGAACCATTAGTTTAAACTATAAATCTGTTTTTAGAAGATGCTTGGAGCAGTCAAAGAAAGACTGTGAAAAAAAAAGTGTATTAGAAAGTTTGGGGGAGCTGGGGATATAGCTCAGTTGGTAGAGTGCTTGTTTAGCATGTGCAAGGTAAATCCCCAGCACCACCACCAAAAAAACAAAAAGACAAAAAAAAAAAAAACAGAAGGAAAGAAAGAAAATTTGATAGCCAGTCTTCAAGATAGTTTTCAATGATTGTGCTCTCTGGTATCCATGCCCTTAGTAGTCCTCTCCCACACTGAGTAGGGCTAACCAATTAACCAATAGGATATTGTGGAACTGATAACGTGTAAGTTTTTGAGCTAGGTCATAATAGATATTCCTATTTTAGATTATCTGCACTGGGAAGAGAAATTAGCTATCATACCATGAGTGTTCCACAACCCTATGGAGAGGTCCATAAGGCGAGAGTTTCTTGAGATCCATCTTGAAAGTTACTACGATTTAGATTTGGTTTGTCCCCCAAGGATCCTTGTGTTAAAGTCTTGGTCCTCAGGGTGGTGGTATTGAGGTGTTAAAACTTTTGAAATGGGGCCTAATATGAGGTCTTTTGGTCATTGGGGGCCCTGCCCTTGGAAGGGATTAAGGTAGTTTTCCTGCAACCCCTGGTAGTTCTTACAAGAGTGTGGTTATCAAAGCCTGAGCTGCCTATCTCCCGAGCTCCGATTTCCTGTATTGATTATAATCTCTTGTTCCTGTACATGCTCCCACCATTGCCATCTGCCATGATGTGATAGAGCCCAGACGGCCCTCACCAGAACTAAGCAATTGCCAGTGCCTTGACTTTGAATCTCCAAAACTGAGCTAAATAAATCTCTGCTCTTCATAAGTAGCCTGCCTCAAGCATTTTATTATGGTGATGAAAAGCTAGTTAATACATATGTGGAACTTGCAACCTCCATCAGGCCATGATGACTACAGCCCAGAACAACATCTTGACTACAAACTCATGAAGGGCCCACAGTCAGAATCACCTAGCAAGCTGCTCTTGAATTCCTGAGTACTGAAACTGCTCATTCTTTGTTATTGTTTTAAGCCTCTAAGTTTTGGGATCATTTGTTACACAGCAATAGATAACTAATAAAATTTAGAACATATCAATTTCAAACAAAACATTTCTCTGTTTAATATTGTTTTATTCAAGTCATAGAGATTTTGTTACTTTTCTGGTTAAATAAAATTTTAGAGTAGAGTTCTATTGATTCTTGCATGGCTAACAGGGACAGAGCAGATCAAAAGAATAAAATTAGAGTTTTTGTTAGGAAGAAACAAAGACCGTCCTTTGACTGGCTAAGTTTAGGGAGATCCCTAACTCCAGAAATAATGAGATTAAGCAAATAAATACTTACTGTTGAAAAAAAAAATTTATTTTAGTAAATTTTGGCTTTTATTAATAAACTGAGCTCTATTTAGAAGTCCTTAGGGCTATTTCAGTGTTAGTCCTTGTTTAAATTTTTTTTAAAGGGCATTTTACTTTGAGACATTTATATATGTAATTCATTTAATCATGATTGCCAGAGCATTTGTCCACTGCTATTTTTTAAAAAGGGGCTTAAACTGGTCGTCTCTCATAGAAATCTGAACGATAAAATTTCATGGCTATTAAAATTTCTCTGACTACTAAGCAATTTTCTGAAACTATTAAAAAACAATCAGCAATTAATAGATAAGCAAATTGTGTTTTATTCATACAATGGAATACTACTTGGTAATAAAAAGAAGTGAACTATTGAGACACACAACAAAATAATTGTGTTGAGTGAAAGAGGACAGACAGAAAGAGTATGTACTTTATGATTCCATTTCTATGAAATTCTACAAAATGCAAACCCATCTGTGGTATCTATCATAAAGCAAATCAATGGTTGCCAGGAATGGGAGTAAGAAGGGGTGAAAGGGAGGCATTATAAAGGGACATGAGAAAATTTTTAGAGGTGATAGGTATGTTACTATTTCAATTATGGTGATGATTTCATAGGCTTATACATGTCAAAACATATCAACTGGTATACTTTAAACATGTACAGCTTATTACATGTCCATGTTAACCTGAAAAGCTGTTTCAAAAATGATGAATAATGTGTCATATGATTAAAAAAATAACTGGTATCATGATCATGTAGAAAAAGCAAAAAAAAAAAAATGGAATATAGGCAAAAGTACTTATTCTGACACTTGAATTCTTAGAATTCCTATTTAGTCACCTGAACAAGAACAACAAAAATGTAGGACTTATATGAGCTTACCTTTGCTGTTCTAAAGTTAGGTGCGTCTATTCAAAGATATTGGGGAACAAATAGGCCTAACTACTGTTAAGTCCCCAAAGACAAGATGGAGACCACATCTAAGCCCCAGGGCCTCAGCTAGCATTTCCTACTAGATCTCTTAGGAATACCCTATGGAGTAGGAATGGTTTCCCTTGCACTTTCACTGTTCTCTCAAAACAAGGACAAAAACCTTTCTTCTGGGCTCAAAGATTTTACTACTACCCATATGTAGAAACAGGCCAAGAAAAACAAATAAAAGGAAATTAGGAAGTTTTAGGGTCATATTAAGTGCTTATAGTCATGGCTATATTTGTTTCTTTCTTTCTTTCATTTTCTTTGTTATAGTATTACAGTTATACATAGTAGTGGAGTTTGTTTTGACAAAAATCATACATGCGGGCTGGGGATGTGGCTCAAGCGGTAGCGCCCTCGCCTGGCATACGTGCGGCCCGGGTTCGATCCTCAGCACCACATACCAACAAAGATGTTGTGTCCGCCGAGAACTAAAAAATAAATATTAAAAATTCTCTCTCTAAAAAAAAAAAAAAAAAATCATACATGCATGGAATTTGATTTCAATTCCCAATAGCTGATTTTTTTTCCCAGTTTCCTTCTGAGATAATAGCTAAAATCCCCTTAGAACTTTCTCTGTTTTATTGTTAGAGACAGGACACCAAACTTCCTTCTATCCCTCTTCAGAATGTCTTTTCCCAGCTCTCTCAGAATGAAAAAATATGTTCACATTTTCCTAGATCAAGGATACTGTTTATGGCCTGTAAGACTAAAGAACCAACAGGAAGGGAATATTTTTGTCAATTTGGGTTAGAATTTTATATGAATTGTATACTTGAATAGGACTGTCTTCTTCTATTGCAATACTGCTCTCCATGAGATTCTTTTGTCCAAATTGCATACCAGTTAACTACTGACACATTAATGCTGCATAACATACCATCTCAAGATACAGTAGTTTATAAAGCATTTATTTCTCACTAGATTGTGGCTGATCTTGTCTGAACTTAACTCAGTTCAGCTCAGCTCTGCACCACATATCTTTCAATTTCCTTAGATCAGCCACATGCCTTTATCATGGTGATGGCAGAAGCACAAGAGCATAGAACAGAAGCACATTATAGCTCTTAGGACTTAGAACTGGTATGGTCTCACTTCTTTCCACATCCCAATGGCTACAGAAATTCACATGGCCAAGCCTAACATAAATGGGGAAGGGGAAAATACCCTTTCCATGGAGTTTTGGGGAGGTAGGGTGGAAGGAATGAATATATGCTGAACAATCATCTAATCTAAAGCTTTTTTCTTTTTTCTTCTGTTCCTGTACATTTATCATTATTATAGTTTTGTAGACCAATAAAACTTGTGTTCCACAATTTGCAAGTATAACTTATGTTTTACAATTTACAAAATTGACTTCATGGATTATAAGACTTCACTTTCTATCATTTTTTCTGACAGGTACAATATTTTTCCCTTTGGTTATTAGGCTATTATGTTAAAACATTATGGGGGAGCAGGGGGGATGAGACTTCTACCATAGAGTGTGCCAATTGATAATTCATTCAAAAGTAAAATAGCACTCAACCCTACTTACAGTTGCTAAGGCAAATAGGAATTTATTTTGCTCACGTGACAAGAAATTCAAAGGCCGGCAACCTTGGGCTGGCAGTATTATCAAAGACTGGTTCTTTTCCTCTCTCTGATCCTTGATGGTTAGTACATTGGTTTTTGTCTTCATGGGAGTAAAATGGCTAGTACAGCTCCATACATCAAGCCTATATTCAAAGTAGGGAGAAATAGCAGAGGACCACGTAGCTGAGATAGGCTTTCCTTGTGTTCAGAAAATAAAAGTTGCCCTGAAAATTGACCATTTATAAATCCATAAAAGATAATATTTTGAGCTTGATAGTCTTTATAACAAAAGACAAAGATAAAAGCTATGGGGAAAAGCACCTGCTGAGAAATACTATAGTGTCTGCCTCAAGAGAACACACACACCCCTTAGACCTAATCACTCCTTCTAAGCAATCCTTACCTGGGGTATACAATTGTTACAAATACAAAATGATAACCTTATTCCTGTGCCTCTGTTGCATCTGTGTTTCACATCAGGCCACTCAGAAACTGATCTTGAGTTTTCTGGATTAATTTAGATATTCTCAAGCAATGCTATAATGTTTGATGAGTTGAATAATATGAGGAAAGGTTATTATTTGAAGGTTGTGTCCTTGGGCAAGTTACTTAACTCCTCTGGGCTTTAGTTTCATTGCCTAATAAATGAACTTTAAAAAAATATATCTTGCAAGGTTGCTGTGAAGATAGGAAATCATGTTTGAAAAGAGCTTCACGCTTTGTCTGCAATTTAGTAGGTAAATTGTTACCTGCAGTGCTTGCTTCGGCAGCACATATGCTAAAATTGGAACCATACAGAGATTAGCATGGCCCCTGAGCAAAGATGACACGTACATGCGTGAAATGTTCGATATTTCTTTTAAATTGTTCCCTGCAGCTGAATGCATTCCTAATTGGCCTACTCACTCTGCATCAAGGTTCACTGTCTCACATGATGTTTTGTTGTAATAGTTTGATGAACTAAAGCTTGTCCAAAAAAGGAATGTACAGTGAAACCTTACAATCAGTAGCTGACATCATCATCATTATTGTTCTGGGGTACTTCAACTCCTTCTGATTAGACATTTCATCCTCCTATGTCTTGCATACATTTTCCAGGCTATCAGCAATGTGGCAAGAAGCTGCACCCAGCATTGCTTTCATCTGGCTATTAAATCTGCATCACCCTCAAGTATCAGCCTTCTGGAATGGTCAGACAGAAGGGAGGAGTCTGGAGGAGACTTATTTACATGTGAAGGGGAAACAAAGCAATATAAAAATATCTTGCCTGAAACACAACCTGTAGGCCAGGCAGAAATCATCTTCTTTGTTCTCTCCTGTCCCCTCATTACCAAAGTTCCTCTCTGTTTCTCCCTGGGGCAGAGAGAGAACATTGGGAAAAAGCAGAGTTTCTGCCTATGCTATCTTCTTCTAGAGATAAAACCATTTATTTCCTTTTTCCTTTCATTTTCTTTCTTCAAATTCACTGGATATAACACTTATAATTTATTGTTTCCCACTCACTATTCTAATTGAGATTCAGGCCCAACCATTCAACCGAAAAGTTAGCTAGATCGAGAAACAATTAGACTCTTTAGTCATTAATTGCACTTGACATTAACCAAGATGAATAGACACATGACCTGTTACAAGCTTATTGGTAAATTGAATGCTAATATTGAATTTCTCTTTATTTTAAACACTAGAAGTGTTATACTTTAGATCTGGAATGTTCCCCAAAAGCCCATGCATTGAAAGCTTGTTCCTCAGCCCATGGTGCTATTGGTGGAACCTTTAGGAGGTGAACCCTAGTTGGAAGAAGACAGGAAGGTCACTGGAAAACTTGCCCTTGCAGTGTATATCTTGTCCCTGGCCC